CAAGATAGATGATGACGTAGCATCGCAAAATGAGGGGGCGTGCTCAAGATATACGATAAAGCGGCCTTGCCAAACGAGGGGGCGTGTTTAAGATATATCTTGCACCGGAATCGCAAAGCGAGGGGGCGCGTTTAAGATGTATGATGACGTAGCATCGCCAAGTGAGGGGGCCTGTTTAAGATATACGATAAAGCGAAATCGCCACATGAGGGAAGATATATCTTGAACCGGAGTGGCAAAACGAGGAGGCGTGTTTAAGATAGGTGATGAAGTGGCATGACCGAATGAGCGGGGCATTTCTAAGATATATCTTGAGCTGGAATAAGGGGCGTGGTTAAGATAGATGATGAATTCATATCACCAAAATCAGGGGGCGTGTGTAAGATATATATATATATATATATCGAATGGGAATCGCCAAACGAGGGCGCGTGTTTAAGATATATCTTGCACCGGCATCCCCAAATCAGGCACCTTCTTTAAGATGCGTGTTTAAGATATACGATAAAGCTGAAGCGCCAAACGAGGGGGCGTGTTTAAGATATATCTTGCACCGGAATGTCCAAACGAGGGAGCATGTTTAAGATATATGATCGCCAAATCAGGGGCCGTCTTTAAAATAGAGGATGAAGTAGCATCGCCAAATGAAGGGCAGTGTTGAAGATGTATGATGAACCGGAATCGGCAAACGAGGGGGCGTGTTTAAGCTGCATCTTGAACCGGAATCGCCAAATGAGGGCGCGTGCTTAATAGATAAATAAATAAATAAATAAATAAATAAATAAATATATATATATATGTATGTATATCTTGAACCGGCATCGCCAAATGAGGGGGCGTCTTTAAGACTTTAATATAGATGATGATGTAGCATCGCCAAATGAGGAGGCGTGTTGCAAGTATATGATGAACCGGAAATCGCCAATCGAGGGGCCGTCTACAATCTAGGTGATGAAGTAACATCGCCAAACGGTGCTTTTTTGAGATGTATCTTGAGCCGGAATCGCCAAACGAGGGGCCGTGGTCAAGATGGAGGATGAAGTAGTTGGCGATGAGGAGGCGTGTGAAAGATGTATCATGAACCGGAATCAGCAAACAAGGGGGTGTGTTTAAGATAATTCAAGGGCCGTCTTTAAGATAGATGATGGGATACCATCGGCAAGTGAGGGGGTACGTTTAAGATATGCGATGAAGCGGTGTCGCCAAACGAGAGGAATCACCAAACAAAGAGTGTTTTTACGATGTATGCTGAAGCAGAATCGGCAAACGAGGGGGCGTGTTTCAGATACATGTTGAACGGCAATCGCCAAACGAGGGGGCATGTTTAAGATATGTCTTGAACCGGAGTCGCAAAACGAGGAGGCGTGTTTAAGGTAGATGATGAAATAGCATCGCCAAATGAGGAGGCGTGTGTAAGATGTATCATGAACCGGAATCGGCAAACGAGGGGGTGTGTTTTAAGACATATGTTGACCAAGACGGAATAGTCACAATTGATTTCGCCGAGCGGCGTTGCAAAGTCTTCCGTCAGAGAAGTCACAAGGCGGAGAAATCACAAAAATGATTTGAAGCACGTTTGCCGAGACGTGTTGCAAATTCTTGTGTCAGAGAACTCACAAGTGAACCAAAACAGAAGTCACAAGTGACTCTCCTTTCGGGCAAGCCTAGCGAAGTCACAAGTGAGCCTAAGCAGAAATCACAAGCGAGCCGCCTTCCGCTAGAGCCTTCGCCAGGCTGGGAAGTGAGGCACTCAGTGAAGTCGGAGTGGAGACCACGCCTGCTCACAGTGCCCTGAAGAGCACTCGGAAGACGAAAGCGGCGCTGAAAAGTCTCAGGCGCCAGACCTGCATGTTCAGTGCCACATGGCCTGCCGTAGCCTCAGAGCTGCCGCCATGCCGCGCTCCGCCCTCTCACTCTGTTACGCTCCAGGCCACGGTGCACGCTCTCGCGACGAAGTTCCTCAACGAGCCCATGCATGCGGTAGATCCCAGATCCGCAGGGAGAGAGAGAGAGAGGGAGTGTGTCTTCGCATCTCGCCCCGCTCTTCGCCCCTCACCAGGTGGGCATAGGCTCCGTCGATGAGGGCATGGTGGCGAACACGGCCATTCGACAGCTGGTGGAGGCCGCGCTTTCCGCTGTCCGCCCCTTTTGTCGGCTCCGATCTTTCGGCTCGGCTCTTCGCGGCGAGGTGATCAGCAACGAGAAGGACAGGCTCCGGTTTCGGCGGGACTCGCTTTGAGAGAGCGCAGACGTCGGTGACGTCGTTCAGTGCGAGCCTGCTTCCTCGAAGGACAAGCCGGCACGTCTACTTCAACATTTGAAGAAGCATTTCAGTCCGGACAAGAAGGCTCACGACCCTGTCAGCTCCAATTCCAATGAGGTAGATGCACAAAAGAGCTTTGTGTGTTACCAACAGGTCATCATCTTTGGCTTGTACAAGAAGGTGGGCTTTCAGCATCTTAGTCAGCTACCTTTTTTGCAGCCGTCGGGCAAAAGCAGCTCTGAGGAGACGGCCTGGTTGGAGAACTTCTTGCCTCTTGCCTCAGTGAATTTATTGTTGCACCTTGAAATGGAGAGACTAACAACTGATCTCCGTTTTTGCTTTAGTCTTCCTTGGCCTTTTGGTTGTGGCGAGGTGGGAGAAGGGCTACGAAAAGGTGATTGCGTTGCAGGGTGCGCAGGCCCCAGGTGTCGTCAGCTTCGGCCCTTCACATCGCCCCTGCCAGAGCAGCTTCCTTCCTCCGTAAGGACTTGTCCCAGGAGAAGAGAACGCAGGCCTTGGGGGGGCCTTCTTCTTCTTTTTCTGCCTCCCTTGAAAACCCTAAACCCTAAGCCCTAAACCCCAAACCCTAAACCCTAAACCTCACTACCAGTTGAAAATGTTTGCAACCTTTCAGTGCTTTCAGGCCATCGCAGACTTCAAGGCGACGAAGAAGTGGCTTCGACTGAACGTGTGCATTTATTCTGCATAACCCAAAGGGTCCTTAAGTACCATAAAGAGCAGGTACTTAGTAGGTACTTAGGGTCCCAAAAGTATATACTCTACTGGTACTTGGACCCTTTGGGCAACACTCACAACTCTCCCCGGCCGGAGCGTCGTTTTCTGTGTCGCCTTAAGGACTCCACTGATCGCCACGGACGTTGCCAGCCGAGGTCTGGATGTCCAGGAGTGACCTGCTTGCATCAACCCAGCAATCTGCGGCTCGCCCATCGGCTGGTCTGCGCGAAATATTTCGGGGGCCCTTGTGACAGGACGTTGAGCTGGTGATCAATTATACGTTCCCGTTGACGATCGAGGAGCCCGTGGGGCACGGATGGCGGCTCGCAAAGCGAGGCGGAGAAAGAAAGCGGCTCCCCCCGACGCAGGACTACGTGCATCGGATCGGTCGAACCGGCCGAGCAGGCAAGAAAGGCGCGGAAGTTGCGGCGCGGAGCGTAGGCCCAAGCCAAGCCTGCTCGCGGGTGAGTCGAGGCTTGGCGATCTGCTTCTTCTGTCCCGAGTCCAAGGGAGCTCAGGATGAGAAGGCACCGGCAGCGCCGCGGGGGTTTGGGGGGTTTGGGGCACGGGCCCGGCACGGGTTAGCGGAGAGGTCAGCTCCAGCTCAGGCGCACGCCGGTGACCTTTGCAAAGTCCTCCGCGATGCAAGCCAAGAGGTGCCCAAGGCCAGGGTCCCTCGCCCTCGCCTCTCTGCCCTTCGAGGCTCTCTGTCCTGTGACAGGAGTTGGAGAGCATTGCCGGCACCTCTGGTGGCAACAAGGCCACGAAGAAGAAGGCCCTCTCATGCGCGCACGTCAGAAGCCCCTTCCTTATCCCGAAAGTGTGTTGCGAATGGTTTTCCGTGGAGGTCGTTTGCATGGCATATGAGGTGATGTTAGTGTTGAGGTGATGATGTGACGATGAGATGTTATTCTGAGCTTGTCGCGTGAGCTTGCTTGGCGTTCGCTTTTGCGAGGTTGCAACTCAATCTCTTGAGGCCTCCCCAAGGTGAAAACCCCTGTAAAACGGGGCCAAAAGCGAGCTGGCGATCGAGCTCAGGTGGTGCCCGGCCCAACTGAGTCGAAAAGCAGAGGCACCCCCGCCCGGGCCTAGCACGCAGCTCATTGAAGGGCCCTGCAGGGCTCTTCGTGGAAACGGTACGGACTCCGTGGCACTGAGGCCTACATGGTGGAGGGGCAGCCCCTCTCTCCCCCCTCCCTTTGAAATACCGTGTGCTAGAGCGATAACTGCCTTTGCAGATTGTTTCTTTGGAAAGCTTGGCGTCTGCATCCAGGGATCTGGTGTTTTGGGTAAGGGCGCTACTGAGCCCTTCCTGCCTGATCTGGTCGCGCTTGCTGCATTGCTACATTGGCCATCGTCTCGTGTGCGTTATTGGGCCGTTTATGCGTGGAGGTTTCGAGCTCCCTTGTCACTTGGCCAGTTGATCTCGTGTGTTGGCTATGCTTGCCGCATTGCTTGTCAACGGGTCCTCGCCTCGTGCGGTGTGTGTGGCTGCTGTGTAAAGGCCATTGGAACGATTTTCAGCTGGCTTTGCCTGCAAGTCTCGTATGTTGTGCATACGCTTGCTACATTCTGCAACATGCGGTTGGGTGTGCACGCTACACAGGTCTTAGCTTTCATTGCGACGACAGTAGATCCTGGTCGGGTGTGCTTGCTGCGCGGGTCGTGGGAGTTTGAGGCCTGGTTGCGTGTGCCTTTGTAATTGCTTCTTTATTATCTGCATCTTGCAAGGTAGCTCTGAGTTTCTGTATTCCAACTTTGTTAGGCATCACCAAAAGCTGTAGATTCTGTTCAGATCTATTCGAGGAAGCATCGGCTTTAGCACTCTCTTTTAAATGCGTTTTCCTGGTCATTCTTCTTCTGGGTGGTGGTGGCCGTTCTTCGGGAGCTAGAACTTGACGACCCACCTTGATGAAAATATGGTCTGGGTCTTGCTTCTTCTGAGCGAGAGCACCTTTAGGGGTGAGGCAGGTAGTGCTAACGGTTGTTGTGTCGGTCCAACATCTGGTTGATGCGGCTGTAGTACCAAAAATGTCGGCCTTAACACTTGCGTGTCTGTTGGTAATGCCATTCTGGAAGCAGTCTTCGTTGCGGAAAGATGCGAACTTGTTAACCCTCCGAATGCGGGTTGTGCCACTACTGTAGCTACAGAAGTGGCTAGATCTTGTCCCATTTCTAAGTTACCTCCGATGTTTCTTCCTATCGTTCCAACCTTAGAAGCAACGCTGCCCCCTACATCTCTCCCCAGTCTTATGGTTCCTCTGCCGATCCTTCTTGAAACAATTGATGTTGGTTTGCCTCGGTGCTAACTCCCCGATTTGCTTGCTGTGCCTCTCGTCTTGCGAACACTCTCTCCGTTTCTGCACGGGCAGAATCTTCATCATCAAAGAACTCCTGCCCTTCTGGTTCTGGTGCTCTCGGCGATGTTTCTCTGAACAAAGCTCTGAGTCATTCCGTTCTCTTGTGCATACCGTCGCATCATATGATCTCTCCAAGGGCTTTCTCTTTTTCTGATAGACCTTATACCTGTTGTCTAGAACCATTGATCGATTAATTACCGAGACTTTTTGGAACGAGATCTGAACATAGCCTGGCACATACTGCTGGCTTTCTCTTGCTTCCTTCTCATCATCTCTTGGTTCGTTGCTCGTAGCTGTAACTGATTGAGTTGTGCTTGAGTCAGATTGTCGTAAGGTTGCATATTTGGAACCTGGAGGCGGTGCTTTGCTTTCATTGCCGGAGCATTTCTGCTTGTTTTTTCATTAGTTTCTACACTTACTGGTTTTACTGTCACCTTGCAGTCGTCGCATTCGGTCATTTGCTTCGCCACTTCCGTGATCTTCTTGGGAGTCGGCAGCCACATCCAACCGCCGTGCAAAAGTGGAGCTTGAGCTTCCAAAGGGGTTGTGTGTTTTGTATCTGCCATTTTCATGTCATTGCTTGTTCTGGCGGAGGCCCACCCCCTCTTTGGGGCTCACTTCAAGCTGGGTGGCTCAGAGGGATCATGATTCATGATTGCCTGATTCGAGCGCTTCCGTCCTTTTGCGTTTTGTTCCTGTTGAGAGGAGTGCCGAGCAGATGGCAGCACTGGAGGCCAAGAAGGCACGTCAACCGTCCGCCCCGGCTCTGGCCAGACGCTGAAGCTGCCAAGGTACACACCACCTTTGATTCGGATGAAGACTGACAGACTGACTGTGAACAGCAGCTCTCTAGCTCTTCAGAGCTCGTGCGCGGTAAGCCTGTTCCTTCTGTTGCGGTCTCGCGGTCTCGCAGCGATGCATAGATTCTTTGTGCTTCGCTTTTCATCTTTCGGCTCCCATCGCCGAAGGCGAGGAGAGAGCGAAGGGCCCGGCGCAAGCAAAACAGTTGCGGCTGTTGCGTGCAAGGCAGCGAATAGTCAGCATTGGAGCGGCACGGGAAAGCATGGAGGATGCGAAAGCTTGCTTGTTGACAGCGACATTTTGCTCTGCCCTCAGCCCTCTCATTCCCTTCCCTTGCTATCCCGGCCAACGCGGCCCGAACAGGGCGCCATGAGGATTGCCATGTTTTCCTGGGAGTCCTTGCACAGCATCACTGTAGGCGGCGTCGCCCCGCACGTTACCGAGCTGGCGGCAGCGTTGCAGCGCCGCGGCCACGAGGTCCACATCTTCACGCGCAGGGCGGAGGGCCAGCAGCTGCACGAGGAGCGAGACACACGCACTCTCACGTCATGCCGTTCTCTCTCCTTTTTATGCGGCGCTTGCTCCCGTGAATCTCAGGAGATCTACGGCGTCATGCACCTTGCACGTAGCAGACTGCGCAGCTCTCTCTCGCTCTGTCTCCTTTTGTCTCCCCCTCGCTCCCAGTCTCCCTCTGTGTCTCCCTGCAGTGTGAGGTACCACCGCGTGAACAGCCCCCCGTGTGAAGACTTTGTGGATCAGATGGAGAAGATGTGCAACTCCATGGCCTGGAGCTTCGGCGAGACGGCCGCGTTGATCGGGGACTTCGACATCGCGCACGCCCACGACTGGATGGCTTGCAAAGCCATGGTGCAGTGCAAGAACACCCACGGCACCAGGTGCATCTTTACCTTCCACAGCACGGAGCAGGGAAGGTCGGGGGGCCCTGGGGGAGGCTCACAGCGTGTGACGGAGTGGGAGGGGGAGGCGAGCTTCGTTGCGGACCGGGTGATCTGCGTGAGCGAAAGGTTGAAGGTGGAGGTGCTGGAGCTTTTCCAGCTCCCGGACTCCAAGGTTTGGGCGATCAACAACGGCATCCAGTGCTCGCGCTTCGATGGGATGTTGGAGGACCCCGCCGCAGTGAAAGGCTGCTATGACATCGGGCCCCTGGATCCCGTGGTCCTCTTTGTGGGGAGGATGGTTGGGGGCATGAAAGGTGGGGATCTTCTCATTGAGGCGGTGCCCGACATCTTGGCGTGCCACGGAGGAGCAAAGGTTGTCTTCGTGGGAGACGGGGACAACAAGATGCACTGCGATCACCGCGCGAAGGAGATGAACATCGAAGGCTCGGTTCGATTCTTGGGAGCACGGTCAGGGGAGGAGCTAGTGAACTTGTTCAAAGTGGCGGACGTGGTCGTCGTCCCCTCGCGCTACGAGCCTTTCGGGTTGACGGTCTGTGAGGCCTGGGCCGCTGGGAAGGTGGTCGTTGCCTCGGATCAGGTGGGCTGTCCAGTGGCCAACGGCGAAGATGGCTGGGTGGTCTCAGCCACCACGGAGGGCATCGCTTGGGGTGTGTCAGAGGTCTTTAAGGATTTCGATCGTGCCAGGGAGATGGGGAGCAAAGGAAGAGTCAAGGCGGCTTTCTCCCTATCTTGGGATGCCTGCGCGGAGATCACGGAAAGGGCGTACAGTGAATTCTGACAGCGAAGCTGCCAAGTGTTTCATCCCGTTAATGTAAATATAAGTACAGGTAGGCATAGGTATACGTCAGGTGCAATGCATCGCAATGGCCTACTCATATGACGGTGCGGGCCAGTGCATTGTGTGTGGATCTCTGCAGCTCTCGGCGCGCCCCACGACGTTTCAAGGCGCCAAGCTGTTGGGTCTCACACGGGAGAGCGAACTCCAGGTTTCTGTCACTGAGCACCAAGAGAGAGCCGGGACAGGACGACTGGGCAGGGCATTATGGGCGTTGTGTGAAGCATGGAGCCATGGAAGTCGACTGGTAGCCGCTCGGTTCAAGCCGGTGCGGGGCGCCGCTATGATGAGCCTGTCCAAGCACGGTTCGATACTCGTGCAGGAGCTGGTCTAACTGGCACGTCTTTGCAGACAGGGCGCATTCTTGGCAGGCTCATCTGGCGCCCAGTTCTTGGAGAAACCGAGTGGTGCGGTCTAGAAGGTGCAAGCGTGCAGCCAGGGCATGGCCCACGAGAATCTGCCGAGAGAGAGGGAGAGAAAGAGAGCGTGCGGGACGGGGAGAGGAGAGAGAGCGCTTGGGAAGCGCAATTGGGAAGCGCTTGGGAAGGGCGGAGGCATGCGTGGCTTTTCCTTGTAAGGGCGCGGTCATCGACCGGGCCAAGCTTCCAGGCCTTTGAGAGCCTTGGGGGCAGCCAGCAAAAAAGAGCCCAGACTTTGTGCAGATTTTTGGGCAGGCTGGAGTCTCGCTCGCTACGTTGGCTGCCACAGTGACACATCGCAAGCCGGGGTCCGAACTGCCTCCTAGGCCCAGGCCTAGGCTTGCTCAGCCTTGAAGTCTGAACTGCAAGGCCCAGATGGTCAAGGTGTGGGAACGGGAGTCTCACTTGCAGCGAAGATGCGAAGAGCAGATTATAATGCTTTCAGGCTGGGGCGACCGGCACTTGCCATTGCGAATGCCGTGGAGGGCTATGCGGAGAACCACGGCTTCTTGATGCCCGCGCCCCGCGCAAGGTTCTGGTTTTGCACGTCGTAGTGCATGCC